GTAACGGTATATTCCCTCGGCGATTTTGGTACCCATCATCGTGTCTATTTCAGGAGTCACACGCGTCCATGTGAAAATGAATCCCGCGGAAACTGAATATTCGAAAACTGTAATACTCTGTGTATAAATATTCATGTCGATAATTAGCACTCGTGCCGACCCAAATCCTTCCGAGATCATTTCAATTTTTCGCGCCAAATTCAGATAATTTTCCAAGTGCATCTTCACTAGACGTTAATATCCATATTTAAAAAATGAACTAACGAAATGAAAACCAAAAATATTACCGGATTTTATTGCGTTATTAAATTATTCCGGAACATACCCAATCAATTGACACGTCAAGTTGATAATCAAATGAATAAATAAAAAATCCATTTAATATGTGACAGACAACGCGAATGTTACTGCAAAATGTGGCACCTCCGCAATAAAAAAATAACGATAAACAATAATAATTCAACAATGCAATAAAATTCGGTAATATTTAAATATTTTTTCTTGAAATTGTAACAATTATAACAATATTGATAATCATAGGAAAACATTCCTCTATTTTCATGTGCATAAATAATGTCCGGATGCAGAATCGTAAACAATTAAAAATCCGTTCGTTATTTCAATTCGCATTTACAAGATTACTGGCAAATTGAGTTGAATTTTTTAAATCCATCTCCTGCATGAATTAAAAACCTTGTCTATATTACCCTGCGCTCCCCTACATGTCAGAGACACGAGTCTCGGTTGTGCTTGAGCTCGAGTTTTCTCGTGGTGGTGTGAGAAACGCCGGGCGCGCGCCACGCGATATTCCCTACGTCACGCTGCGCGTCGACGTCACTGGAGAACGAGCGGCGGGGTAACGCGCACGTTTGAAAATCGAGGTAAAACGACGATGGAAGGGATGAGACAAACGAGACAAACGAGACAGAGGTGGCATTAAACGGCGAGTAGGAGAGAGGGACGGCGATAGAAGAGACTGCGATGCCGACGGTGGAGGTCG